CTCGTTAAGAGTAACGTAACGAGAAAAAGATGGGCGAAAACGGATATCGGATGAAGAAGTTATGAGGATTTAACAGACCAATCCTATCCCGACCCGTTGATAATATAAAATTTAAAATCGAGTCAAAATTAGCCAACGAAGTCTAAATGAAAGTTGTAGAGTATGTTCCCACCTTCGCGTGGATATAAAGAACGTCAAAAACGGAGCTCGTATGCAAAAGTTACGAATTTTTGAAGTTAGAACTCGAAAAATGCGAAAACTGTTGCGAAGCTGATGATGTGGCCGCTTCTGAACCGTTGCTTGCTGACCAAGGCTTCGCTCCGGATCGCGCCACGACGACTCGCATTACGCCCCGCGTACCTTCGCTTCCCATCCGACCAGTGTGCGAAACAGCTGGTTGCGAGCTGGCATCCTCATCCGCGAGAACGCGCCGCGTAGCCGAGGATTACGCCCCGCGTAGTCCGAAACTCTCAGGCTATAAAAAGGGGCGAGGGTCTCCGGATTTTTCACACCATTTCTCATTCTCTCTCTAAAATCTTTCTCTCTCTAGGGTTTTGAACCCTCCCTAAAATCTAGGTGAACCCCTAGCACCCTAAGGAAGCCCCGAGGCTTCCGGAGTCCCGAGAAAAAGGAGTTTTTCGGTTTCAAAACACTGCTCCAATTAAGTCCCGGTTTTCGATAAAATTCGCTGTAAGTATGCTACGCTTACGCAATTTTTAATATAGCTTTCAAATAATTATAGGAATGTTATTAGGTCCTTAAAATAATTATTTGGGCTATTATTATGAGATATATCGAGTATTATTAATGCTTAATAATACTCAGACTAATTAATCTATCGCGGTTATCATTAAACTAAACCCTAGTGGTATCGATACTAGGTTTTATCGAAGGAATATCATTTTGAGAGTATCGAAGCGCTGTCCGAGTGCTGAGTCACCACCTAATCAGGTGAGTGCATAGTTACTTTCAACTTACACATAGATATGAAGTATTTAATATAAATTACGTGCTATGTGTGCATATTATCTGAATACTTGCTATCTATGCTGGATGAACGTTTTATACATGTTTTCAAAGATTTAAACTGTATATGTATTTTATATCTACAAAATGTGTTGGGTAAAACATGGGTAGATGTAATAGTTGCTGTGTGACAAAATAAAATAATGAGAGGCCTCGTTATAGATGTTATTGATGATCCAGTCATCTAGCGGAGTATAGATGACGACCACGGACTATTCTAGACAGTCCAGTGGAACACTAGCAGGCTCGCAACCTGTAGGTGTTTATTTGAACTGTGTGTTTATTTGAACTGTGTGCTCACCAGATGTACTCCATCCCCCACATGGTTGCCTATTAGGACATTTATTGCTGAGGAATCCCCTTAGCAGTAGTGTCCATCCCGATGATGATCCTTAGGCTAGGTCCCTTATGATAGGTGTTTAGGGACGTAAAGTGAGGATAACGGGAACGGGTAATCGGGTTATTATTGATTGATGAAACTAATAAACTTATTTATTGTGGGTTGAAAACCCTATGTGCTCACCAGGCTCCCAAGCCTGACCCACTCAGTTTTATGCATTACAGGTAGTGGCGCATGAGCATAGGTGTGATGTTTTGGACGAGGGATTACGGATATAGGCCTGTAGATATGAAATAATGTAGTAAGACTTATATTGTACTGTTTATACTTTTGATCTGTACGAACATGACATCCCGAGTCTTTTAATGATTACATTTCTATGGAAATGCTTTTGATAAATCTTTATCATATTATTGTTTTGGGACAAATTCCGCAAACCTTTTATTAAAAGATAACTCTGATTTTGAAATAAAGTATAAACAAAACCGGTCTTTTCTGGCCGTGATTTTGGGGATGTCACATGTCACTCCTCTAATGGCTTACAAACACCAACTAGCAAAGAGAGGATGATTTGAGAGAGAGGAGAGGGGATGGAATTCGACCAGAGTATCCTTACTTTAGAAGATGTGTCAAATTCTCTCAGCCATAGGGTCTATTTATACTTGTAGACTCCTTAAGGGTTACAACTTAAACCCTAATTGGATAACTTAGACTTTAAGTTAATCCATATCCTTTCCTTGATAACCCTATGGACGATTTTGGCTTATCCTAGCCTTAGAAATCGTCCAGTCCTTTATCAATAAGGATTTACGGTCTAAAGTTTAACTATCAAGCAATTGACAGTTTATACCCTCTTATTTAATTAATCTCTTTAAGTCACCAAATTAATACTAATTAATCTATGACTTATATTAATCAAATAACTATATTATTATTCCATATAAATAATATCTATTCTCTCATAATAAATCATCCTACCAAGTTGCTATGGTGAAGGCAACCCAAAAGGACCATGCACAATCGGGTCAAATACTTGCCTAATATAGTTGCAGCCTTAGACACTATTCCAACAGATTGTTCGTTAATCGATGCCTTGAAATCGTAATATTGGTTTTCATAGAAAACCACATCTCTACTTCGAATAACCTTCTTTAGTTCTGGATCCCATAGCCTATACCCAAACTCTTCATCTCCATATCCAATAAAGATGCATGGAGTGGATTTGAGGTCCAACTTCTTCCGCAATTCACTTGATACATGTGCAAATGCCTTGCACCCAAATAATCTCAAGTGAGAATATGATATGTCTTTACCCGTCCATATCTTCTCCGGAACTTCAAAATTCAATGGAGCGGAAGGTGACCTATTTATTAGATAGCAAGATGTCAATACAGCTTCACCCCAAAATAGCTTTGGGAGTTTAGTCATGTTGAGCATGCATCGAACTTTCTCAACAATTGTGCGATTCATCCGTTCTGCTACACCATTGTGTTGTGGGGTTCGTGGGACAGTCTTTTCATGTCTGATACCATGTTCCGTGCAGTATTTAGAGAAATCACGGGAATAGTACTCGCCTCCATTATGTGATCGGAGACACTTTAGCTTCTTGCCTGTTTGTCTTTCCACCATTGCATGAAAAGCTTTGAAGCGGTCCAATACTTGATCCTTCGTTCTCAAACAGTATGCCCATACCTTTCGTGATGCATCGTTAATGAATGTCACAAAATATCGGCTTCCACTAAGAGATTCTACTTCAATGGGTCCACATATGTTGGAGTGGACAAGGCTCAGCAACTTAGAGCAGTTCTTTCTTGTGGAGCTAAAGGAAACTCTATGTTGTTTCCCAAATAGGCAGTATTCACAAGGATCCAAGGCAACATCTTTTGCCATTGAAATGGACTCCTTCTTTGCAAGAGTCGTCAATCCCTTCTCGCTCATGTGGCCTAGTCTTCTATGCCACAAGTTTGGTGATGTCTCTTCTTCAACAGCATTGAGACTTGGCTGAAGTAGCTTTGCATGGCTTTTATAAAGAGTACCATCAAGTTGTCCCCTTGCAACAACCATAACACCTTTTAACAACTTCCAAGTGCCATTTTTGAATTGATTATCATATCCTTGGATGTCAAGAGCTCCAACTGAGATAAGATTCATTTTTAGCTCCGGGACATGCCGAACATCTTTCAACACCAATGTACATCCAACATTGGTCTTTAAATGTACATCACCAATACCAACAATGCTTGAGAAACTGGTGTTTCCCATCTTTACAGTACCATGGTCTCCGGGTTTATAAGTAGTGAATAAATCGCGGTTTGGAGTTGAATGATATGATGCAGCGCTATCAATCACCCACTCATCCTCATGAGTTCCAACATGTAGGCATGGTTCCTCCTCGTATGTAACAAGGGCAACGTCTTGTGTTATGGTGACCATGGTTTCACCATTCTCCCTGCTTGGCTTCTTACTTGACTCGGGTTGCTCTCGTAAGAACCTTCGACAATCACTTCTTTTGTTGCCATAATAATTACAATGATTGCAATAGCCTTCGAACCATGTATTTGAAGATTTACCTCGATCTCGCGATTTCCCTTGATCTCATGGATTCCCATGATCTTGAGATCTTCCTCTACTTTGACTATGTTTGCCTCTGCCTAGACCTCTACCTCCAGTTCTTCCTCCGCCTCTTTCTTTATTTTCTGACACGAGGGCAAAAGACTGATCTGTACCATCTGCTTTCCTTCTGGCTTCCTCGTTCATCAGGGCGTCTATGACCATCTCCATTGACACTTTGCCACCGGGGGCAGAGTTGCTGAGAGTCACAACAAGCATCTCCCAATTATCTGGTAGAGAACTCAAGAGCAATATGGCTTGTTCCTTGTCTTTGAGAACCCAATCAGCAGCACCGAGCTAGTTTACGAGATCTTGGAACTGACTCGTATGCTCGGTTATGGACATACCACTTCGTAACTTGTGGTTTACAAGGCGCCTCATCAGCAAGGTCTTGTTGTGTGTCGTCTTTTCCTAATACATACTCTCGAGCTTCCCCCAAAGTTTGTACGCGTCTGTCTCTTGAGAGACATGATGAAAAACACTATGGTCGATCCACTATCGAATTTGTGCCACCGTTTTCCTATTTATTCTCGTCTAAACTTCGTCTGTCTTCGTGTCAGTTTGACGCCTTTCTTTTCTATAGGCTCTGCTAAATCTTTCAGATTAAGCAAATCTTCCATCCTTGGCTTCCACATGTTGTAATTTGTGGGCGTAAGTCGAACCATCGTAATCGTACTTGTAGATTCCATTGAAAATAATTGCAAATTTATTTTACAAATATTTCGTGGAAAAATTAGATAAAACCGAGCTCTCGGTTGGATTCAGAAGCGTAAAAAATGGTGGGGTAGAATTTTTCGGGCTCAAAATATACTTTCTTGAAAAGTTATGTGCTAATTTGTAACTTTTCAGAACTATAGGGGCTAAACTATAATTTTCGGAACTTACAGGGGACTATCTGAAACGTTTCTGCAAACCAGGGACCTTTCTGAAACTTTTCAGAAGTCCAGGGATCAAAACAGTTAATTTCAGAACAACAGGGACCCAATTGCAGCTTTTTCCGAAACAGAGGGACATGTGTGCAATTTTATGGAACTTCAGGGGCTAAACTGAAACTTTCTGAAACTCTGGTCAATGATGACGTCACTCCTTCTTCTCCAGCGAGGCTCTCCGGTGACTGGTTTTTTCGGTGATTTTGACCAAACTTTGACCGACGTTTTGGAGGTCTTCCCGTGGTCAAACAATTACGAAAAACATATTTTTGGAATCCTTGAAACAAGCCCTTTCCAACGGTGTACTCAAAAATGGATTTTGAGACTAAAAAATTTTGACGAAAAAACAGAGAAATTCGTAAAGAATTCTTTGGACACCAAACGGGGCTCTGATACCAGTTGTTGGGGTTGGAAAACTCTTCTATTAAATACTAAAATAGAATTACAATACGAGGAGCAACTCTCACACTCAACTATTACAAAAAACCAACCCTCTCACTTACACTCTTACTCTAAGTGTTATACTATATGTTTCTCTGTGTTTTTGGGATGCATACAACTGAAGCATGAGGTCTCTATTTATAGTCTTGGCAGCCACCATTATAGTTGCCTTCATTAATTGTGTTCATCATAGGGTGGGAAGAAAAACTTGTCCTATAGGTTTCATTTTGTCAACAATGGTGGCTATTTTAGCTTTGGAGGCTGTAACACAACACCTATGACGACATCATGAGCTTCTTTGACTTCATCCACATCCATATGGAATGATCTTCACATTTGTTTGTAGTCGAGGCTGACATTTGGAACTATAATCAGTGGCGGAGCTACATAGGACAGTGGGGTACTATAGCATTTCCAAAAAAAATTGTTATATATATATATATATATATATATATATATATATATATATATATATATATATATATATATACAAATTTATTTGTAAACATGTTCTATGTTATTGTACCCCCAACTAAAAGGATTGTATCATGTTTTTTAATGTATAGAATAAGATAACTACATAAAGTATATCTTGACAATCGTTGTACCCCGTATCCAAATTTCTGGTTCTGCCACTAACTATAATGTCCCAAGACACAGGTAACATTCTATGTCTTTGAATTATTTCAATCAAAAATCAAAAGATTTTTTCCCCTCCTTTCAATAGGGAAAATATTTTTTTGAACACCTAACTAACACCTCCTCATCTACTCCTAGAATGACTTGAACCCGAATGATCTTGACTTTGACTTGGTTTCTTGTTGCTTGGAGAGTAACAACTCCTTTTATAAAACTAGACAATCCACTGCAATATCCTTTTTTCCAATTACTTATCTTCCATTGGCCGGCCCTCTTCATTATCATGTATTCCATATCATGAGTGGCAATAATAGCATCATCAAGTTTAATGGGATGTTTAACCTTAATTTTTTTTTTTCTAATATTCTAATAGCATGTCAATTAATCCTTTCCCTTTTTAGGGGAACATATCTTTCAAAAACAAACTAATATCCATGAATCTTTCTGTTTCTTCATCAACCAACGTGTTTTCTTTATGATGGGAAAAAAAATCTTCTACAATATTTTTGAGATCGCAGTTAGCACACAACTTAGTTTTCAATCTTCCCAAAAACTCATCTAAACTCCAACTTGGTATTCTTTCTTTCCCAATAGTATTATATACAAAATTCCACCAAAAAATGCTTCACCTTTAAAAAGTTGGGACGGCAAACCCCACATTTTGATTTTCATTGCCTTCACTAACTTCAAGTATTTGTTCTGTTTCTCATATCCAATGCATAGTGATGGCGATCAAAACCCTCATATTCATTTGGTCAACATGTAAATAAGTATTTAAACATACATCTTTTATTTGAAGTTGGATAAGGGCTTTCTCTATAAGGACTTAATAGTTGGGTGACAACATCAATAGATTTACTCCTTGCACTACTAGAGAAAGTCTAATTTAATACGGTTAAAACTATAAATATAGTAAAAATATTGGAACGTATTAGTAGATGAGTGTATTAGATTAAATTGCCTAATAGAATACAACTATTTAACCATACTCTATATGAATCCTCTCAAGCACACAACCATCTAATACACCATATGATCTCATCATACAACCGTACTAGATCAATCATACAACCGTACTAGATGTCAAGATACCAAACCCAGATTCCTTCCCAGTGGCCCTTCTTGATTACATTTCAGCCCTATTCAGCACCCAATTACAAACCTAACGTTCTTTGATTCTAAATAAAGGGGCCAACAATCAAAACTAATATCAACAGACACTATGACATCCCCATTTTTAAGGCCAGAAAAGACCGATTTGTTTATGCTTTATTTTGAAAATCAGAGTAACATTTTAAAGAAAAGTATTGCGGAATTTGTTCCTAGAAAAACATGATAAATATGTTATCAAAGCATTTCCGTAGAAATGTATTTTATTCATTTTAAAATGTTGGGATGTCATCGTCAATATAGAAACATAAGCATAAATAGAACTTACATTCATTAACACTGGTGATTTACATCTCCTTAATCTCTCTGTGTAATATAACTTCATATTGACACCTGTGATACAAATAAATTTGAGTGGGTCGGGTTGGGAAACCTGGTGAGTACATAGGGATTTTAATCACACAATGTTATATCATATATATAATTTAGAACTCACAAAATATACAATTTCACCATATATATAAGCAACTCTTACCCCAACCCGTCGTTTCTCCCAACGACACTATCCATACTCTTAGACCTTAAACTTTACCACTATACTTAATCCATACTCTCGGATCCAATCCATGCTCTCGGATCAATAATTGTGCCCATTCCATACTCTCAGACTAGGGACAAATGTCTATGTCTAAATCCATACTCTCGGATTAATGACAAATAACTATGTCTTGTCCATACTCCCGGATTAAGGACAACTGACTATATCTTAATCCATACTCCCGGATTAGTGACAATTAACTATGTCCAATCCATACTCTCGAACTAGGGACAATAACTATGTCTAATCCATTCTCTCGGATCAATGACATATTTTAAAGTTCTATTCTCCATGTATATCTCACTCGTACTCATAAAAAGATACTACCCAATATTCCTTATAATTAATTTAGGTTTACTCTTTATCCTAAATCATAATATACTATCAAGTATGTTCTTTAACTCGTATCTCAGGCAACATCAAATAATTTGCACATAAACATATATTTAATACTTCAGTCAATACTTGTATTAAAATCATGTTCATGAAAGGGACTATGCACTCACTTGTTAAGGTGGTGATTTCGAATTCAAACAGTGCTATGCTTCTTAAAAATAATTTTCTTCGACGAAACATAGTATTATTACCACTAGATTTTAGTCTAGTATTTGTCGTGACTAATTATTATTATTATTATTATTATTATTATTATTATTATTATTATTATTATATAAGCGTTTAAGCAATATTTTTCAAGAACTATGTACAGACAGGGGCCAGACATAAAACACCGGAGGGCAGGACCATTTTGGCATATAGCACTTCTGAAATCCAACAACCATATGCGGCCCTTTAAACTAGATTCCCCGTACCGCGAGTAGTTAAAAAGATATTATAACGACACTTATATAAGTCATAATAACAGCTCAAATATTTATTATAAGTTCATAATAACAATACTAATTTTAAATATAAGCTATATTTAAATAGGGTAAGCATAACTTACCTACAAGGGGTTTTAGCTAGGAGTCGGGCTCTGCAGTGGCAGAACTTCGTCGCTGAATCTTTCTAAAAAAGATTCGTGCTGCGCTTCAACGCTCACCTTACTATACTAAAACTACAGAAAGAGAAGTCGAATCACGAGGGACCGAAAGCTCGGGGGATAAGAAGAGAAAGACTCTTGAATCAAGAGAATGGTGCAAGAAATATGAGAGTCAAAGGCTCTTATTTATAGTAATTGAATTTTCAAAAACTACCCTCATAGTTACTTAATAACCTTATAGTTATATAAAAAACTAAACACCCCTTTATAATACTATTTTAAATAGATTTAACGATATTTGTACTAAACAAATGTCAAAATTATTCAACATTGGTCTTATAATGACCGCATCGTCGATACATTTCTAATGATATATACATATGTATATATATGTGTACGTATATATGATTTATACATTATTTTAATATGTAAATATGCTATTATAATTTGTAACTCGTTTATACGAACTCTATTTTGATGCTCTTTATATCCACGCGTAGGTGGAGACGTACTCTGCAACTTTCATTTAGACTTTGTCGGCTAATTTTGACTTTATTTTTAAAGTTATATTTTTAACAGGCAGGGACAGAAAAAGTCCGTTAAAAATTCATAACTTCTTCATCCGACGTCCGTTTTCGTCTGTCTTTTTACTGTTGTGCTACTATTAATGAGATCTTCAATTCTCATTTAGGTTGCGTTGGCCCAAAATTGATCGATCTAAATTTTGAATTTCGGGTTGTGCACTGCTGTGCCAAATCTTAGAAAAATAATAACATGCTCATACGAAGTCAGATTTTGACCTTCTTTTTATGCACACTCTTGGTTTAACGTATATTACAACTTTCTTTTAGATATCTAAGGCTAAAATTAGTTTATTAAAAATTCACTTTTTACGTTACGCGGTGTTGTGCTGGTTTCGCCGTAAAACTTCGACGGACCATAACTTCTTCGTTATAACTCGGATTTCAGCGTTCTTTATATGTACGAAACCCTTGTAACATATAATATAACTTGGTTAAGATTAATCTTTCTAAATGATCTTCCATCAAAAACTTATTTTTGATGTTCATTGTCTCTAAATTGACTAGCCCAGATCTGCGGGCGTTACAGACACCTAGAGAAGATCCATCTTCATTTTCCTTGTAAAGCTCTTCTTTTGAGTAGAGAACATATGGAGTCAAAACACTAAAGTTTACACAACCAACACAATCTAATCTTAATGATAATGACGAATGAAATAAGTGAATAGTTGGAAAATTACTAACCTATATGAGACCATGTTACCAACAGTTGGAGCATTTAGCATTTTCATATATAAGGTGATACTCCAAATTTCTAGGCACATTATCTGCAGATTCCTTGACAGTCAAAAGCAAACAAAGCTTCACCACCTAGGGGCACAAAAAGAAAATTAGAAAATGGAATAATAAGAACAAAATCGTGTGCGCCAGAGGGCAGAAAATACATTCTCCTTCCATTATCAAGATGATGAGCGTGATCTCTTTCAAGTATCCTAAAAAAGGACACTAAAAGGAATTTTATAACAAAATATTAAAATGTCAATCCAAAATAAGACTTACTTGCGCCTATTATTCATAACATCCTGTGATAATATCCATGATATCTTTTTGGCTCTTCTTTTTGCATTGGCACAAGGCATTCACAAAAAGCTAAAGGAACCTATTTAAATCTTGAATTTAGCGTGCCAAGTGTCCTTGTCTAAGGATCAAACAACACATAATGATGATGTCATATGTCTATTACAATATTTGGTAAACTAAATATATATGTGTACTAACCTCACCCAAGTGGTTGAAGGCCACATAGATTCCACCAATCATTTGAACACTCTTAAAACCAAAATGAAAAATAATAAAGTTATTAACTTATATTATATTATTATATGTTAAGAGAACTTAAATAAAAAAATTTAAAAAGATATAAAGAAACAGATGATTTGTTGTATTATTATAACACACACATTGCCATGTCATACCAGTGTAATGACACGTCTTTTGATTCTGCAAGTTCCACTTCTTTAATTTGTTTCTTTAACTCCTCTAGAACACGTTTTTTATGCAGTAAAACAATAAGAAACATGGTTTTGTAATTTTGTTATAGTTATAAAATACTATAAAATATATAAAATTATCATACCTTGTAATTGTAAAAGAAGAAGAGATTGAATGTATTTTCCATTTATTTTTCTTGAATATGCTGGAATGCCATAACAAACAATTTCTTTTGTCATATTTAATAATCCCTGAATGGAAGATTATATAACATAATTTTACAAAGATAAAGTCATAGTTACACAAATATTAAACTAAACTCAAAATTCATTTTTAATTAAGTTAATGGACATAACCTGAATTTCAAGGTATGTTAACAAGTTCACTTTTAAACTCAGCCAAAACATCTTCTCTCACAAGTAACTACAAATAGATGTAATTTAATTAAAACTCAAAAGAGTATATAAAATTACATTACATATGTTTAATTGTCCTCATAAAGGCAAAACAAATGTAATTATTTTCAAGAACACTCACCATGACAATTGGATCCCAGATACAAATAACAAAGCCAATATTTTTGGTCACTACAAAATGCTCAAATAAACAAGTAATCAGATCTTAATATAATAAGATCACAATTAAACAAAGTTTATATATAAGTTTTTATATATTACTGTCAGAAAAGAACTCATGTAACTCATAGCTGCTAACATGCATTTTCACATTATCAAATCATAAATAAACTTTATATCCTTACTTGAAAAGAGAAAAGATGTCCTCATGCATGCCACTTCCAAAATAGAGTTTTCGCTGTAAAAATTCAGAATGAAACAAGAAGCATGTAACATCAATACAAACTACCAACACATAAATGAACAGCTTGTGCCCACCACATTAGAAGAGTGACTATACACCAATTGGAATGCTCCATATGTCTGAAAAAAGTAATGAAATAATGTTTAGAAGCCTCTTCCCTATTTACTTATCGAACATAGGGAGTATATCCATAAAACTCATAGCAAATTGAAATTAGAAAGCTTTTTTGAAACTCGATCACTTCACCAAAATCATGATCCTGGGAAGAACAAAAACCTAATTTCATTGAAGGTAAAACAAACAACATTAAACCCTAACATATAGCATCTGTGAAATATAGTATAGATTAAATCGTACTTGGTATCGGCTTTCCTCGTAGCACTGCTTGATTTGCTCTCTTTCATCGTTTGATCCTGAATGAAACAACCGAAACACAAGCTAGGTCAAAAATCAAAACGAAAATGGTTATAAGTGACAAAAATTAGAATCAACATTGAGGAAAAGGATGGATAATGAAATAAAAACAAAGACCGAGTGACAACAAAACAACAACCATATCTCCGATCTGATCCGCGATACATTTGATATGAATGCGGTACATATGATCTTTTTCTGCTTACATATTCGATCATATTCAAATAATTTATCATACATCCCGACTTCCTGATCTGAAATCCAAAAAAATGAAAGTCGTTCTATTAAGGCGAAAGTGCTGGTGGTTTCTGTTTGTTCAAAAAGAGGGAGGAGGCAGTGCTCTAGTAGTCGTCGAGGCGAGGGGAGATGATGGTGAAGTGATCGTCGAGAGGAGAAGAGATGGTGGTGCGGCGGTCCTCGGGAGGAGGAAATGAGTGGTAGCTTGGAGAATGTAGCGGTGAGATGAAAAGACGAGGACTTTGTTCCTTTTCCCCATTTGATTACACCAAAAAGAATGAAGATACGGAAAATAAAATATTAAAATTAATTAAATATGTTTAATGGCATATGAATCATATAAATACGCCTATAATTAGAAACCTACATCCCTTTCTAATACGGGGTTTAATACATCTATATTAAATTATTGTGTATTGTATTATCCTTTTTCCAGTAGTGTTGTAGTGGCGGAGCTAGTGGGGGACTAGCCGGTGTTTGGCCACCCCTAACATTTTCAAATCACCACTGTCTATTTACACTTTTACTTTAAATATCAAATAATATTCATTCTATTCATATAATACTTTCATGGTCCTATTTTGTGGATTCTCTCTTTTAAATCCATTTATTTAAATAGATTATAACATAACAAAACAAGATGTATAAACCAATTTCTTTTAAATGTTTCTCATTCAAAAAAGTCTCACAAAAATGATCTAAATTTGAAATTCAAATTCTAAAATCATAATCACATCTGATTCTATAAAAAAAAATTAAAATACTTTGGACCGAGAGAAACGCACAACTGATTTTTAAGACGGTAAAAACCACAAAATGTTAAAAAAGAAAATTTCTAGAATCAAAAAAATAACCACTCAACAGCATCTCCGCCTCCTAGTCACCGCTTACTAGTACCACCGATAAATAAACCCCCCTTATCCTAAATTTCTAGCTCCGCTCCTGAGTGTTGTAGCATTTTTTTGGTGTATTTTGGGGCACATCGCCCAAAAGTTCGTCCCCAAATTTGGTGCATATCATAAACAGCTTTTTCATTGCATATCATCATGAAGTTTCTTCATTGGTTCTACCATAAGTACTTGTGGGCTCTTGTTTGCATTAGAATCCTCTTCATTGAAGGTAAAGGGTTTGAATCTTAAGTGACATGACGCAAGAGATTTTCATTTCTCATTGTTCCAATTGTGTTTAAAGTTTTTTGAATTTAGTAGTCCCATAATATCAATTCATAGCATAGAAATCTTAATCCAAATTTGTAACACATATTAACATAACAACTTATATGCATGGATTCCTACATTTAATAAACATATAATTGTCACTAAAAGTGATCATAACATTGTCACTCTTGCCTACTCACTCACGTTTTAAATCTAGGTGTGTCAAGTTACTAACCAATTCGTTTAATCTATTACTTTAATACCAAGTTATAACAACCATCTCTTAGCATCGAGAATTAACATAATAAGATGACACTAGTTGTTCTAGTGTCAAGTCCAACGAGAATCAGCATAATAAGATGACAAAACCGCATAAATATGTTGCAAAAATGGATTTTGGGAAATAGGTTAATTAACCTGCATTAAGTGCAATTCCTTTCATTTACTCCAATTCAACATCTAAAGTCCATAAAATTAATTTAAAAGAACATTTTCTTTGATCGGTTAGTATTTAGAAGCAATGTTTGATCTTTACATGATTCAACTTGGAAAATGTTTATCAATTTATCTTATATGTTTAACCTGAATAAATTCATACCAATAAAAATTAACATAAGTAACAGCAACATACATTTATCCAAACTAAACTCACAACATAAATTGTAATTTCATTGCGAGGTGGCGCCTTATCCCTTAACTTTAAGGTTTGCTTGTCTTTTAAAGGAAGGTAGTACCACTACTTTAAAGACTTAGACAATACTTCAACCACTTATTAGAACTTATAAACCTTCTATAAATACATTTTTAAAATCCAAAAACCTATACAACAAAAAAGAAATGAAGCCAACAAGACCATTTGTTCTTTTCTCAGTTTTCCTTATCTTGTCTGGTAATTTCCCCTTATATTTTATGTAATATGTTAATATCTTTTTTTTTTTTTTTCTTTTTTAATTTAAATAAGTATATCAATATGATTATAAAAACTATTTTGTTCAACCAATATCCTAATTTTTATAAATCACACAAGTACTCGACAGATAAAAACTTTACAATTTTTCTCTAAAAAAGTTATAAATTCATTTTTATTTTATAAAAATAAATAAATGAAATAACTTAATAAACCCTTTATTTTACAGTGAAAGAGGCGGTAGCCTGCAATTTCTACATCAGCAACAAATGCCCATATCCAATATGGCCGGCAACCGCCGCAAACGACGGCCATCCGGTGTTAGCCTACGGCGGCTTCTACCTTTCGCCAGCAGAGCAACGCAAAATCCAAGCTCCGGCCGATTGGGTAGGCCGGATCTGGGCTAGAACAGGGTGCAAATTTGGTTCAAATAACGCCCCCACCTGTGAAACCGGCGATTGCGGAGGAAAATTACACTGCAACGGGCTAATTGGGTCTCCACCGGTGACACTGGTTCAATTCGCGTTACAACCCGACAAAAGTAAACCCAGTTTTTACGATGTGAGTTTAGTCGACGGCTACAATATCCCGGTCTCCGTGACGACGATACCTTCGTCACCGAAATGTCGAATCGGAGGCTGTAAGAAGGATTTGAATGATGTTTGCCCAGAAGAACTTGAGGTTTTGAATGAAAAGGGTGAAGTTGTTGCTTGCAAAAGTGCTTGTTTGGCTTTTGATAATGATAAGTTTTGTTGTCGGAATGAGTATGGAACGCCGAATCGATGCAAGCCGAGTGTGT